TATATCTTTAAACGGTCGATTCGGGTGCTCAGGTTTTTTTTATTATACCTTTTTTTGCTTAATTAAATCGATGACGTGTAAATCATGCTTTTTATGATCTATAGTGTCTATAATCATTATTTTATAGACAAAAGTTCATGTCTGTCAACATTTTGTACCATGGATTACCATTCCGATTGCCGTGGATGCTGAGACAGGTGGGCGGTGTAACGTTGCCTAACGAAGATTATGCCTAATGTAATCTTCGTTTGGCTGGTGAAACGTTACCTCATATTTACAACAAAGCATAATATAATGAGCTTAATAATAACGCGATAAAAATAATTATTGAAGCACCTTAATTCACTTATCAAGAACATTTACGATGTCTCAAATTCCAGAAGTGGACAACTTATTAGCTTTCTATCTAGATAGGTAAATTATGATGAAAAACTTGCCACATTAGTTAGCTACACAGCATGGTATCCTGGCCTTTCGACATGCGCCTAAAAAGAAACACCATGATACCAAGAAGTACAATTTTTCCTTCTATCAGTATCTCGGTTACCCTGAAAACTGTATTCTTACATTTACTTACTAGTCATCTCCTTGCGATGACTACAACTCTGTCCAACAAGCTGTCTTATAGGAAGACATTTCAATCTGAAAGACCTATTGGGTTATGGAAGAAAAAATATAGGCCTAAGAAATGCCACTACTGTTTGAAATTTTCAAGTACACGTCATCAAATATCTCTTAATGTCGTCTCTTGGTGAAAACGGATTTCCATTTTTATAGACCTGTACGTGGAGTACTGCACGGGGAATCCTTCCTCTGAGTAAGTAGTATTGTTGATGTTGGCTGTTTAGTCAGTGTACTCGGCTGAATAAATACTGCTTCGAACGCCCTGCGACTTGTTAGCTGTAGGATCTGATATTCACTCTCTGACAAGCTCTGGATAAATATTCCCCGTAACAGTGAATCGTTTGAGTCCACGACTGTCGGACTTAAATGAGATTTTATACTTCAAAAGATGCAAACGTGTCAAGCATTTAACGTCTTTTTCAAATTATCGGTGATTCCGAAATTCGCTCGGCAAACACTGCTATGGCCATTGAACTTTAGCATCAGTCTGCGAACATTAATTAGGCATATGCGTCATGTTTTTTTGAGGATATACATTTTTCTCCTGAGTTTATACTTGAATGTCATCCACGTTTCCTCTACTTCTAGGATTTTACATTGATTTATCTTTAAAATATACCATATTTTTAGGGAAAAGCCAAAATAACACTAACTACGAAAAAAATGCATTTCAGTGACTTTGTAATGACTTGGTCCGCCTATATAAATTAAATCATACAGAAAATCCAAAGGTGTATGTAAAAAAACTGCGATAATTTTACTATCTACTACTATATCTTATGCTACCCTGTTGTTTGAGAGAGAGAGAGAGGGAGAGGTTTGATCGATTATGCGTAAAAGAAAATTAGGCAGCTGCAATAAGCACTCAGTCCTAGAGATGAAGGAATACAGCGAACTAATGTCGACACTTGAAAAAACTTGCTACAACAGGCGGTGGTAGTGGGAACTTGGTGAGCATTTATGATCTCACCTAATCATACGGAATGCTAGTTCTTAAACGCGATGGAACCATTTTCTACGAGAAAAGAGCCTTTCGCAGTTAAACTTTGCCTGTTCAATCACTATTCCTATTGTTGCGTTTCTGCGTAGATGTTTATATCGACGCATTTTACTAGATATTTTAAGAAATGACGCCTTTCGAAAACCAGCAATATTAGTCGCCCATTTTAGCATCTACCCAGCCGTCTGAAGTACGACTAGCTAAATGTTGTCATTTCTGACATCTAACTATCTATCTAAAATAAACCAAACCTAGACTGGGTCGCATTAACGGACATTTTTCGTTAAAAACAACGGTCTTCAGGCCTCTTAACAAGGTCATATAATATAATTGTTTATAGTAAATTAAATTAGGCTTATATTAAGCTTGAGTATGATTATCCCTGTAGGCAATGGGGAGTAAAAAAGAATATGTATATGTATGTAGTAAATATAGACCATAATTTTGATGAAAGGTCGTACAATATATATGTAAGAACCGCAACAAAGGTAAAATAAGTTACAATATTGATCATGGGTGCAGGTTACATCTAGGTTAACGATCATTAGACAAGTACTGCTAAAATAATTGAACAATCGTGCTGAACGTAAAACTTGTAGTTGTTGCATGCACCCAGTTCGCTTTAGATTTTTCCAACTGAATTTTAGTTGTTACTTTTTCTGCATTGAATCACCTCAAATCTGAAGCGTAAGTGATTGTTACGACGATCATCCAGAAGAAGGCCCACGGCATAACTAGACTTATTTAGGCTCTCCGCTAGAACTCGGAGCGAATTGGCTTACATTAATTACTGCAGAGGGTGAGCCAGCTGTATATATGTACTGTTTCTTTCCATCGATAGTCGGAATGGCGGACTTATCTAACAATATACCTCAATAACGTTGATCGACAGCAAGCCACCCGGTACATTAAAATATTTCGAAATATCACATGTTTATACTACTGATTTGTGATTTTAGATATCTATAAAGTAGCCTCAGCTGAAAAGCATCTGCGAATTCCTGCCAAGGCCGTTTGGATTGCCACGAGAAACACTCGTGCACATACAAGGTAAGTGTACTCCATTCTCTACAAGTCAATTTGAATTAGTATCATCGCGGGGTGGACAGAATTAGAGGGCGGGAAATCGCTAGGTCGTTTGTTTCAATTCACAAAAGGTCAGCGATTCATATATGCCTATATACTTTGTTGTGTTAAAAACAAGCTCTATCTGTGTATGTTACTTTACTGTTGATTTTTGAAAAACATAAAACGTGACTGAAAGCTTGAAATACGCTTATTTACCCTTGCTGGTCTAGTTGCAAACAGGGTGCTTTGTGCATGCAATTCCACCTTCACATTCAGACAATACATAGGGACCTCGAATTTCCACCTGGTTCGTACCGTACGAAATCGTCATATATGTAGATAGATGTTTGTATGCTCCTATAAGGTAGCGACGAATAGACAGAGCGTATGTTGTTACTAACACAAAAACAGTGTAATGTTAGCAATTGAGCAACTAAACAAATGTAATCTTCCCCTATCATTTACATAAGTACTAATTACACAAGGCTCGCAAAGGGCAACGCAAACTGATATTGCCGCATGAGGGCACCACATTGAATACTGCTACAGTTTGTGCTAAATTTCTTCTTTCTCAAGGATGTATATGTATGCAGGGGTAAGTTTACATTTTAAGACCGTAATTGTCAACCTGTGCCAAGGTACCTCATCGGCATAATGCGTGACGTACGGAGTCCGGAAAATGGCCATTTTACCATCATTTTCCTTTTTAGTCCTTCTGAGTTTAGACTGGATTGATTTATAGTTGTGTTCGATTCCTGTTGCTTGTCCTGAATTTACAAGTGAAGATGGAAATCGATCAGTTGCTTATTTCGTCTATATATACACCTATGATATATAAAGCGGAAAGCCTCTGGATATGTTGAGACCAGATATATAATAAATACTGCGTACATCGAAAAGCTTCATATACAGTTTACGGATTGAACGCATTAGAATTAAATTTTTGAAATTTTTAGCTAGTAAATTTGCCGTTGTTACTTTGTTTTTTTTTTTTTCATTTATATACAATTAGAATTAAAGTTCCAAAAATTACAAAATTACCACCATTCTGTTCGGGACACTATTGATAACTTATTCACAAACTTCGTCAAACATTTCATTAAGGTGGCGTGATTCATGATTTCGTGCAATTTTGCCAATTAATTGTGCCGCCTAATTTGAATGTAATTTTATCGCTGTAAACTATCTTGTTTTAAGTACTGTGCATTTTGTATTGACTGTTCTTTTAGCTAGGTGGCTTTAGAGTTATGTATCTATCCCGATGATATGAGCTGCGTGAATCTTAACCTGAGATAGAGCTTCTTGAAATATCTGCAAAAAAAAATGACGGTATTATGCAGTTATATTGTGACGAAGACAAATGCTGCTTAGGCCCGTGCAGAAATGTCTGCTATTTATAGTCAGTATGGACTATGGGAAGAAAAACGGCCCAAAGATGGTTCTATTGCTTTCGTTTATGAAATTTCGATATCTAAAATCTTCTAATGGTCGAACAATTACGGCAAAAGAGTTCGTAAAATTATTGCGAGAGTTGAGCAAGATGGCACCTTGAAGAACTAGACAACCATCACCAAACAGTTTTAACCATTTCCGGGAAGCTGGCCACAGAAAAGCTCGATGTTTGGGTGCGACACGAGTTAAAATAGGAGAATTTGTTTTAGTGTATTTCCATTGGCAAAACTCAACAGCCACATAGAGAAATCAAACAATTTTTAGAGCCGTTGGTCACAGGTGATAAAAAAAAAGAATAAATACCGAAATAATCTGCAAATCAAAAAGAAATAGTATTTTTCAATTTCTGACAAAGCTCAAGCTGACGCCAAAGAAGGCGATGCTATTTAGTGGAACCGAAAGGAAATCGAGCGTGAGTTGATTCCCCTTAATAAAACGATTAATTTTCCGCTTTAAGCAAGTAATCAGATTACAGCGAGCCATTAAAAAACCCTTTGAAATTAGTGAACAGAGAATAGGAAATGTCGTCTTCCGCTATAGTAAAGCCATATCACATACATCTTTAGCTACCTTTTTAGCAGATTCTACTTCCAGCACTTTTACCAATCCTAAAAGGCAACGACCATCTCAAATCCCACCGACGTCGTGATGCGGAATTGCCAGTGAAAGCGTCTGCTATAAACTTTTCTCGTATAGGCTGGCACGGATGTTAAACGTGTCTTTGGAGAGTAAGTGCGATACCCAAGGGGCAATACGAGTTGAGAAAAAAGCATTTAACTGAAAGGGCGTCCTACTATCTTATATCAAGCCAATTTTGGCTATATATACACTGAGTGATTGTAGACCCTAAAGCTGCCTTCAACTTCGCCTCAAGGGGTTTCTTCTGAAGCATTCTCGCCGATACCGGTATTTCTATGAACGTGCGTAACGTAATATTGTGATACTTCAAAGTACCATATCAGAGTTACGATCGATGATGGGTTTTCGGAGCTGCCGGTGATAATTTATGCTACCTTCTTCTTTCGATCTTGCTTAAGAGGAGCTTTCCGACAAGATATGTGGACCTAAAAACTTAATGAAGGTTCTTCTTTACGCAGACTATTTTGCCGTTTCGGAATCGGAGCTGTAATTAAACCAAAACCGAGGCAATGAAATCCAGAAAAGGAGCTGCGGCCCTGTCATACGCTATATACCTCCGGTCGGCCTCTGACGTATGTTAATCGATTCACGTATCCTGATTACTAATCTCGTATAGCGGCCGAAATTTCTCTAAGAATATTGCAAAGAGTTGCAAGCTTCGTCCTCAATACTTAGCTTCCAGCAGTTGGCCCTCTGAATCGCTTTGCGACTCCTCGACCTCAAGGTTGTGCCATTTGCCGCATACAGGATAGGCTTCTTCCTGGGGTGATCTCACAGTAAATAACTTCGAGCCTTGGAATCGAACGAAAGTTTTATTTCTAAAAAGAGCCTTAGGATTGTGTCGGACAACTTGTAACAGGCTCACCTGCCTTTTGGCGGCAACGTTACTATTCGTCGAAGATCTCGGTCGAAGTTTCAAACTGTCGCAAAAACAAGCGGTGAATTGGGTTAAAAAGCTTGCGGAGGCCGATCCCGAAATCGCTATAAATATGATTTTTCAAGCGGTTAGAATGCTACCTGACAAAGAAAAATAAATAGTTTTGCTTGATGTTTAGCTACTGGGAAAAATTTTAAAAACTTGGGTAGAAATTTTAATAAAACCACCATATGGCCTGAATATCGTAGCATCAGAGAGTCATCTGTTACTTATACTTATAGAAGAAGCGCTCCGTGAAGCACTCGACTTAACGGGACTTACATATAGATCGAAAGGCCTTTTGGAATACACTAGGCACCGTTAACGTTGATGGTGCAGTTCTTAGAGCTGTATGCTGACTTAAATGTGGGCGAAAATTGCTCTACATTGACTAAAGAAAGCCTTGTTTATGGCACATAGCGTTCTAGTGATTTGACTTGTCAAAGCATGTAGAACTGTCACCATGGAGGCACTTTTGTGCTTGCTAATGTACTATTCTGCACTTCTAACGACAAAAAGAAACGATATATGAAACAATATGAGTTCATCGATAGCCCGAACAGCAACGATGCGGAAATGGCAATAGAAATTATTGAAATCAAGAACGTCAGATATTCCGAGGAGCTGGACGAAGTCCTCCATATCAGACTTGCAGGTCTGGTAAGTCAATAACCATGGCGACCTCGTTTATTACATCACGCAAGTATAAGGCTTAACACGGTCAGTACACAACCTTCATGGTAAACGTAACGAAAATGTAGCATGCCATATGCGTGTTATAAACGTCAGGTGGATCATATAACGGTGCATGGAATTAGATTAAAAACTTTAGATCATAATTAAAAACGTTAATCATATCGATAGATCTACAAAGGGGTTAGATAAATTAACGACCCCTTTCAGGAGCGTTACACGCAAGCAAGAAGAACTTGAAAGAACAAGAAGGAGACTTCAAGAAGAAAGACGTCAAGACGTACACGATGCGAGAGAAGAGTAAAGGGATAGAAGTAACTTCCTCCCTTCCTGTCTTTGAGGAATACAAATTAATCCATACCTCAACTAAATAAACACATAGTTAAACCTGGTAGTAATTGATTTTAAGGGTGAAAATAATCACACAGGTTGTTGCAAAAAATGATGCACTGCTTAATGGGTCCTAAGTCTCTGATTGTTTTTTTTCTCAGAGCGTAATTAATCAGAGATAATGAGCAAAGGATTATGTTTTCGAGACTAAGAATGTATCTGAAAATGCAATCACAAGTACAAAAAAAATAGAGAAACTACAAAGACACTATAGCAGGGAGTGAAAAGCAGATCCTATGCCACTTACAACTAATTGGTGTTCTTATACAACGGAAGACCAGAAAACTTAACGCTTAAAGCTTTACCAGAAAAAAAGGAATTTTTAGGAAGTTAATAATTAAGTCACGAGCTCGGCGTCAGCAGCTAAAGGGTACATTGCATATTATCAGCCATTTACAATAGTTAGGGAAAGCGGAGTTCAGTTATCAACTTGTACACTTTATAAGGCTCTGAGGCTAAATTTGGAAATAAACAACTCTGCCACGGCCGCGGTAACTAAAAAACTTTATCGACAGCATGTCTACCAACTGCCAATTATAGTTTGAAGGAATCAACCATTTGTATTTTTCTAACTGCCCGCTTTTAGTTTTCATATATTTTGAATATAGAAGAAAAAGTTTATTTTAGCTAACAAGCTATGTGGCTTCTTGCTTATAATCCGATAAGTGATTGCAATAGTACCTGTAAGAGGATTCTGTAGGAAGGATTTGTTTAGAAGAAGCACAACTATTGACGGGTATCCTCCAACAAGCGTCATTTTCCGTTTCCAAAACCGGGAGACATTCAAAATTCAGGCACCGCGAATTCTATTCAAAATAGGCTCCTTTCAAAGAGTTGAAACAATATGGAACTATTGCTATTGAAATTTAAGCGATTGTATCACAGGCGAGTGGATACATAATGGCGACGTATACAGCAGTTCTTGCATTGACCTAGCCGGGCGGTTGATAGTTGTCATGGACTTGACTTCTGCTGCTGCTGCTGCTGCAGCAGCAGCAGCAGCAGCAACAACAACAACAACAACAGCAAAAGTAGAGATGCTTCAGTAAATTACTCTTCTATTGTTCATCTACTGTGGATCATTAAAGACATGAAATGGATTTTCTAAAAATAGATAGACAAAAGCAATTGACTGAGGCATGTGCGTCTGACAACGTACGACAAAACGGCCTTATGCTGAGGTGATACAGTCAAACAAAGCAGAGTATTTTGGGTGGGGCCAAAGATCAAATAGTTTTGTGAAATACTTGTCATTTGTTCTGATCAACATATACGGACCTCGCAAATATATCAAATAGCTCGTACCGTCGTTTTGAAGTAATAAACACTCCAGATATTTGTTTTACATATACTGACTCTGGTTAGATATTCAAGATTCAACAAAAAAAAAAACGAGAGTGGTGGATTTTTTACCCTGCCTGCTTGTTGTAAATTATGTATATCTATGTAGAATTGTTTTTCCGTTGCTCAGACCGACAATGCGGGCGTCTATGGATGAGATTTGATTGAATATGCGCATAAAAATGCATACATGTCGAAGAACGATAAATAAATGGTGCAAGGGTTTACTCATATATTGCTGGCGAGGCCCCTATCGAGATCGGGCACCGAGAACAGCAGCGCATTTACTTTTCTTACACGTATTAACCCTGATATAATTTTCATATATGATTGTTGTTAACGAAATCCTCGGAAGTGATTTTGGGGCGACCTATCCTTCTGCCAAATATTGAAGTATTCCTTATTGCAAAAAAAAAAAATTTTTTGAAAGTGAGCATATTTTAGCTTATAGCTTTAAACTTTATCCGGTTATATATTCACATGCGAGACAAATGTCAATCTCTTTGCGCAGCCATAAGAAACAATCCGGGTTGACAAAATATATTTAATGACTATTAAAGATGTACACAGCACTGAATCACCCATAATTTTTTAATCCCATTGCCAAAATGTGTCTTTTATTCCTATGTAGGGAGGTAAAACGCAAATTTACTTATCTTTTGCTCATTTCACTCATACCATCCATCTCCAATTCATACGTCTTCATCTATACCTCATCCATGCACTACAGGTCAATCCTACATTCTTAATTAAAAAGCTTATTGACCTGATGTAACGTTTTGTGTCACATTCTGGCGGCCCGCGCACTTTCACACCTCAACTGTAACCTTATATCACACAGATTTACGAAGTAAAAGTAGTTACCTTAGAGGAAACTATTTGTTTTGTGTCCGCTTACAGGTGTTAAAAGTGATTTCGGTTCGACGAGAAAAGTAATGGCCACCTCAGCAGACGCGGCATATTTTCGCTATCTTCACGGCGTTCACGCTGACGTTACAGGCAAAACGTCAACAGTTGCCGAGGTTTGTAAAAGCTGCGCTGCAGTAACCATTTGCTTTAGACCGGTTTGCGCGCTAAAAACTAACTAAGATAATAATTGGATCCGTTTCATTCGTATCTCTATTCGATAATGGCGGTTCTAGTAGAGGGGACGTGATAGGCGAAATAAAGAAACATACTAACAGCCAAAGGCTTACCTTGTACGTATTATCTTCCTATAACAAAGACTTTATCATTTGTAGTGAGATGATCCTTTGTTTGCACCACAGACGCAATGTCTGGCATCGAACTTCCTACACCTGCCGAGGGTTATGCTAGCGACAGGTTGTATTGGAGCACACCTACCTTCAAATATTTTGAATATAACGATCAATGAAAATTTAAAGAAAAAAAAAACGCTCAGATATCCCGAACTCCCGCGTACATCTCAAGCTCAAGCAGGTCACAAATACATCAGTTGGGAGATGGCTAGTACGAGCTAAATTGTTTAAGTAAGCAATTTAGTTTCTTTGTATCCAGACCAACTAACACGATTCTACCATAAATATTAATAGCGGTTCTATTCATCTACTGATATTTGCGTCATATCGATTGCTTGCTTCGGAGCAAGCATTGCCCGAACGGACGAAGCTTGCTTGTTCGGGTATTTTCAGTAAACAGAGAAAATAGACTTTTAGCTCTGTTGAGGATAATTAATGGGTGTTTCACGTTTACAATGATCCTGTGCCTACCCACTACATAAGCAGACTCTAAGCTTACCTGGATCTCCAGAGCAAGGCTATGAAGCCATGGAAGCGCCCCAGCGGCACGTAAACTCGCCGTTTTCGTTCAGGTTCGTTGAATGTCATTAAGTATATTTGTATTGGTGCAGAGTTTCTGTGCAATTACTGATAGTTACTTAATATTAGAAATATAGAGTCCTTTATATGAAGGATAATGTTTAACTAGTAATTCGGACCCGGCGACACTAATATAGTAATTGTTATTATCCGATAATCCCGTTTATTGTTCCGAACCTAAAAAGAGTTCATCAGAACGAGCTCGTAAATTTCATACTTTGCACGACATTAATTTTTAATATATTACTGACCGGTTTTAATATATTGATCGTTTAGTGTTTTATCTATTTAGCCTTAGGCTACGGCAATGACGCTTATTAATGCATAAAGAGTAGATGGTCCGTATAGTTTCAAGGCGATATTATCACTCACTTACTAGCATTCTGAATTGATCGACAGCTATTTTTTTTATATATTACAATAAATAAATGTGCGGCAAAAAATATATTGCTTTTTCCAAAATACAGTATAATTTTGAAGCGAACTAGAGTTACGTCACTTCAATGAACTCTCTTCGTATCTTTCGGTATGCGGAAAAAAAACTCTACATAAACGTATGCTTGTAGTATAATACCTTCTACTGCAAGATACTAGAACGATCCACGCAATGGTTAGCATATATCGCTGATTCTAAGCATAAATGAGACAACCATGCTTTATGCTCTATGATGGGCAGAAAAGTTTTTGCTTTTAGACACATATGAGTGCTGGCGTTGCCGAAAATTGTTAGCTAAGACTATTCGATGGACAGAAGCAAATTATGAGCTGACGCAGTTTTTTTTTTTTATCTCGTTTGGGCAGGACATCACCGCGCGTCTGAGCGCACTTGCTCCCATGAACTTGTTTCGGCTTTAGAATAAATCTGATTTAAACTGTATAAAAAACTTTTCCAGACAGAATCATTTAAAGATCCAAATGGTCTTGCTCTTAAGCTTTAAAACTGGCTCATTGAAATGACAGTTTAAGTGCACATATTTCCAGCCAACAGCTACATAAAACTGGTTTATGAATTCAGTCATAGGACGACTGTGCGATCTACATGACCTTGCATTGATCTGTTCTAAATAACTTTTTCATACAAAGTACCCATTAGCAAGAGTGGAATATAATTTGCAAATAAATCAGCTTGGATGCTCAAGTTACGCCAGGGTTAGCCTGTGTGAAACACCAGCTGCATTAATTCTAAGCTGGAAAAATTGTCCGCGAGCCTTTAGTACCGAAGCCTTCAGCGTGGCCTTTTCCTAAGCACATCAGAGGGCGGTTCTCTGGCACTAGCTGTCACCACACCAGACAACACGGCACAGACACTGAAATTGACGGTCTATGGAGTAAATTACCAGTGCGCATCGGAGAGTGCTCGTAATACGTTATATACTACGGATGTGACGAGTTACTTTTTGCCAAGGACGTTGTTTACCTACTTTTGATATGACCATAAGATCTAGTTGTGTCCTGATCCCAGAATCAATAGATACTTAATTTAATGGCTGCAAATAGAGGCCTTTTTAAAGATTACTTGTATGTCTTTCGTAGTCACATAATCAGCCGTAAATATGAAAATTCCAGTAGACAAATTAATACTTATGATAAGGCTATTATATGCTTCTATGAATTGAGACTTTTCTCAAGCTTAATTGTACACAACACCTGGATCAGCTACCCTTCCCACTTACGACCCTTTTACGTCTAGGCATGATGTTGGCTAACTGCCGGTTAGGTTTTTTGTTCAGCCTTGTCATTCGTTTTGTCCGGCTTTGGTCCTTAGGTCTGAACTAGTTTGCGATAGACGCGTGCGGCACCTGTCTTCAACAGAAGACGAGCCGATCAGTCCGAGCGGATGTGGTAGCCACTCGAAGGAGTCGTCCTCATCGCAGACGCATTCGTCCGCGATTTTAGAGACGTTTCGCCCTCGGTCGAAGTCAGACTCAAAGGAACTCATTAAACATCACAAACCGCCAGCTAGCAACATCATGTCTGCCTTGAAGTACGTATGCTGCTGTTTAAACAGTAGGCGTCGAAATATCGCAGTGGAAGACAGAAAAATAGCTCGTGGTGCTGGAAACTATCGTATACGATCTCAAATTGAAAAAAATATATCAGAACAGGAACTATAAAATTACAAGAGTGCGTAATGATGAAAATATCATATAATAGTATTCGAAAATATACTTTATCATGATGAGAAACATGCTAGAAAACAATGAACGAGTATAGAAGGCTGTACTATTAGAGGAAATCTTGAGTCGACAAATCGAAGTGTCGTTATAAAAGAAGGAAAGCAATTTACAAGTGATTGCTCCGCATGTCAGAAAACAAAAAAGGTAGGCTAGTGTATATACGGTAGGCCGTATAATCATAGTAGAGGCCAATGTCGAGGCGTTATACTTCTAAGCACACAAATTGAAACATAAAATTGATTTGAGTCCCTTTCGATATGGCGGAAGCCTTTGAACACCAAGATCTCGTTTGGTGTTACTCTACTTTCTCCCCTAACAAAAGTGACCATAGACACTTTTGTTAGGGCAGAAAGTACAGATAAAACTGCCGATACAGATGAATGATTGACTTTAATAGAAAGAGAGTCTGAGAACAGTCTACCCGACTCTAGTCGTCGCAGCAATTCGCGTAGCAAATTTTCGCTGCCAGAACTATCTTCGAAAGCATTCAGTCAAGGATTTGTATCACACTGTATAGTGTCAGACTGTTTCAAATGATTTACCCGCTGAACAGGCATCGACTATCAGTGGAGGCCTTGCAAAGCCTGGAACGTCCGCCTTGTGCCGCTTACCATTTGCGGAGCTATGGGAAGCCTTTGGGCTAGTTCTTTAGCTAAAGCTTTGTTCTATACTAATAGAAATTTCTATACAGTATAAGAACCGATAGGAGCTCTTCATTTTTGCGGGGGATGACAGCTGGTTTTTATCTACAAGTGATTTTTAAGCTTGTTAATATGCGGTAGATAGAAAAACACATTGGATTTATTGCGCACAACTAAAGAACGTTTTTTTTAGAGAAGTTAATAAAGGATTAATTTCAACTAACACTACAGGGCAACTGCCGTGAGCCACGAGACAACTCAGGCTATTACATATATTATTTTAGTAGTTCCTGTTCTTGACAAAAGAGCTATTTTCCAGAATACAGGAAAGGTTTTACTTACATTTGAAACTACTTGCAACTATAAAATTAGTGAATATGCACTTTGTGTGTTGGTAGGAATTCAGTGCACACTCACAATTGGTTTTCTACAAGTGGAGGCGGATCCCTGAACGGGAGCAATAGTCCATCGAGCTCGCCAACCTACGAAAGTCCTCATGGCCCTCTAAGCTTTTCGGGCCATTCGGGAAATCAGTCTCCCAGTACGCTAATGTACCCAAGCTTCTCAGATGGATTTGACTACCGTCCTCAGCAGAGACCAAGGTATGAACGGGTGCTTCTAGTAACTAGCGAGACGTGAAGGTAATTACCGACTTTACTTTGCCCAATTGAATCGATACGTGTATACTATGCTCGTCGAAATTCCCCCCTGTAGGCGAATCATGCTGTGCTTAAACTGAAATTGATCCCGAAGTCGAACTTAATGACAGGTATTCGCTAGCATACGCATACATAGAGCCTCGGACACCTTCGGGTGGCTTCACTTAAATAAGTGATAGTAGAACGATAAGTCACAATTCTCGACAACTTCCAATGTTTCATACAGGTCAGGATCCGAATCAAAAAGCGGTGCTGTTGCCAAAGTCATGGACATGTTCAGGGCTCGATCTCAATCGATGAGTCTCACAACGGACGGCAAGGCCAAGGTAAGCCGAACATAATCAATTATGAAAAGTTCTTATTTTTTTCAACAGGTTCAACAAACCCGTATTAGTGGGAGGTTCAGGTTATGTTTGTATTAAAAATACAGTACGCCAAGACAATTCTCACTTTGAGCCGGTTGACGTATGTTGGTAGTAACCATTAATTAGATCGCAATTGTATTCAATCAAATCTGCCACAGCCTCAATTAAATGAATGCGGCAGTATCCGTATATAGAAATACACGGTTTATACAATCGGTCAAATTATTTGAGATGTTTATACGCTTTCTATAACTTAAACTAGTGGCGTTATGAACGTTAGAAGATGAAAATTGTTGAATAGAATACCTATTGTGCACTGCAATGTTACTGTATATATATATATATATATATATATATGCTATATAATACAAGCGGGAAACAATGTATGTAAAGCGTATGTTTGGGCACTCGTCAAGTGTTCTGCGAAGTGTAGGGTGGCGCTGATCCAGCCGCTCCAAAAGCGCGGCAAATTTACCTAAATAAATAAACCTACCCTTTGCTTTGATTCACTAATTCTGTATACGTTCTTAGGTCACTTGGATTATAGATAGCGAACCAGGCTAATTTTAGAGTTGTTTTCATCTAACGGGCGCTCTTCAGTAACAATGCAATACGGTAACTTCAGCTAAATATTTTCTATTTCAGAAGGTCTCACACAGTCAGTCGGGTATGTACATCGATAGGTATAGTAATTTAAAAGCGTCTTTGAATTTGCTTACTTTATCCACACATGCACACCTATGCGTATTGGATTGTTGAAAACGTGTTGGAGCTAGAATGTCACATATCTTAGATACTATAGGTTGCGTCGTGTTGTCGTTTGAAAATTGAGGCTCGACAATGGTAGATGTGCTAACATCTAAATGCCTCGAAGGTTAATGAAGTTTCTGCAAAAGGGTTCTGCTGCTTACGGTTAAGATGAGCTATCAAAAGGAACTGCTTTTGTTTTGGACATTCCGATGAGAACAGTGCCCCTCGACTAATAACAGAAAAAAGTTGATGAAATTACTGTGAGAGCTGAGCAATACTGGCAAAATAAATAGCCATAAGACTTAGACATTTAACCTCTAGTTTGTTCAAGTGAACTTTAACAAGGACACGAGTGCTAGAAGCTTTCCGACATGCGTAAAGAGCAATCAACTCAGGATATCGGGTGGCCGAAGAAGTGTTAACGGTCTCTCTGACTAGAGGCAACATATCTCAGGTAATATCGCCAGCTTGGGGATACTCGCATTTTAAAGCTGAGATTTGGCACTAGTAGATGCGGTAAGTAGTTGTAGTGGTAGACCCATTGTAAAAAGAGTTTGTGAAATTGATGAATTGCTATAGTTAACGAAACCGACATCTGACTAGCCCAGGCATTGTTAAGGAAGTAAATATTTACCGCTCAACAATCTTAAGTTGTTTGAAAAAAGCTGGCTGTAAAAAGAAGCTTCTTTGCGATTTTTGGGTGCCACACAAATTGACGCTCGATCGTATTTCCATCTGCAGAATTCTATAGAAATCGTTGCGTTTTTGAAGCAGTTGATTGCGGGTAGTGAAATATAGATCGCATACAACCTTATTGCGCGAAAATTGTACCCCATAACATGCGATGAAAGCCAAACTGTTGCCAAAGGAAATAATGCTATACGTTGGGTGAATTTAGAAGGGGATCGTGCGTGTGAGTTGCTGCCGCCTAGCAGAGCGATTGATTTGAGAAACCTTTACTGTCAACAAAAAGCAAGCTTATAACAAATTGTCATTGAACTACAGAAAAGGCGTTGTCTTCTACCATCACGGCGTCGAATCACATGCATTTTTAACTGCCCGCCGAAAATTAAAAACAACCTAGATGGGAACTCTCAATATGTTCGCCCTACAGCCCAGATCTTGCGCCATTAAACTATCATCTGTTTCGGTCTCTGCAGAATTTTCTTAATGGTTGTAATTTTTATTCAATGAAGAAATGACTTGCCGTAATTTTTCGTCTGGAAGCCGCAAAAGCTCATAAGTGATACGATTATAACATTATCAGAAGAAAAATGGCAAAATGCTATCGATCGAAATGGCACATTATTAATTTAGCAATGCTACATAGAACTATTTAAAATGTTTGCTTCGAATTTGGCTAAATAAAAGTTAACACATTTTTTAAGAACCCAATAGATGTATATATATATATATATATATATATAGTGAATGACGATACTCATGACTGAGGTAATGATCTATACGAAAGTGTATGCCTGAAAAGTTCAAGTTCCAATTTAAATATCTATACACAAGAATTCGCTTAACAATATCTGGATTATTACTTAGAGACGGAAGAAGATATTTTAAACTAATTTTAAAAGCTAAACAGACTTCGCTTGAGAATCTGACCCGGTACTTCATGATTTGAGTCCATCCTATTAAGGTCGAGACTTCAGTTGCTATGTATTTTCTATCTTTCATTGTGAACCAGATCAAGGCTGGACGTATTGTCTAGCTCTCGTATCTGATTCCGCTTGTTCCCAGTTTCGCTCAATAGGAGCGCCGACCTGTTACTTCTAGCATGTAGCCAGTACACAAATTTTCTCTACCTTGCTTTGTTTATACGGTCAAATGGCGTCATCTAATGTAAGTACCGGTTTATATGGAACTCGAAGATGTCAAAATAAGTCGTTGACTGAAGTGTGTGCACCCTCAAACCTTCGCTGTGTGTTACAACAATCCTGTGGAAGCCAACAGAGATCGTACACTGCTAGCGCGATTCCTATAACACGAGTTTCCGTACGGCCTTTTCCATACTACGATCTATGCAAACCAAAGGACAATCAGAATCGTCAGTATGATTGCTGTATTTAGCTTTCACTTGTATCTTCGATTCGGTTGTTTTCTAAGGTGAGTCAAATGTGATCGTTTTGAAATTGGTTCGCTTGAACACTGAGCCTAGGATTTCTTCTAATTATAGTTGTCCTTTGCTGGAATCGACAGCCGATTTCAATCAATTTTGGTTATGACATCTCCCTATACCCATACCGATATTTACTCGAACTATGTAAATGCTTGCTATTTTGTTCAAAATGTCGAAATTGTTTTTTTTTTTTTGTAAATTCGCAACGGCCTATTTTTAGAGATCGAACATAGCACGTTCACAACGACATATATGAAAACGAAAAAAGATGATCATGGCACGATGCAAATAGATCTGTCCTCGATAACCCTTAAAGTAGATGCTCTGAAGCGTATGCTTCTAGCCGTATATCTCCAAGAAGTCTGACAGGAGGACACAAACGTCTTCCAGGGTTTGTGAAAGAGAAATGCGTTCGCATGAAGGCGTCAGAGGGATGGACTGCGCAAAGAAATGATTGGTCTTAGGATTCCAAACCATTCTACTTGTAAAGACATCATTACTATAAAATGGTTCGTAGACTGACATCGTCTACTTGCATTAAGCAAATCGCTTGCGTAGTAGTTAAAATTTTTTGCTGCATCTCTCTTTATCTCTATTTGAAAGGTAGTAGGCTGCGTAAAAGCAAACCTTTATCTTCTATCAACATATGCGATACCCAAACAGTATTTGTATGCATATAATTTATATTCAATGTTCGTGATAGAGTTCGACTTGGGCTATCATATTCTACCCCGAATTTGATGCCAAAACAGATTCCACGGATCTGCTGTAAGCCGTAGCGAAAATCTAAGGCTGTTTCATCGGAACCGAGCACTGGCGTTTAAAAAATTAGTGTAGTAGTAATAGTAACGATATTAAAATGATCCAACTACGGTCGTGATAAAAGCTTAATATCAATGACTCAATGTATGTACCCATGAATCTCGGATGCATCAAAGCGCAGAATAACATGTGCGTTCCCTGCGAGCCCGTTCGCTCCTGCGAGAGTGATGTTATAGGTGGGATTGGAGAGAAACTGTACATCGTAGACTGCTGCTGCTGCCTAGCGAAACGTTTGACTCGGACCACTGCCTATAAGATTATGACAAGTTATCGAAAACAATCAATTGAAATTAATGAACAGAAGGAACGTTCTCTTTTGTTGTGACAATGCCAAACCACACACGCATTTAGCTACCGAAAAAAATTTAGGAAATTTCAAAAGGGACATTTTAATGCGTATGCAGTAGAGCCCGGATCTTGCGGCTGTTTCGGTATCTAAGGGACAGTTCCAATGAAAAGATCTAAAAATTACTTTTCCTCATTTTTTCGTCTAGAAGCCACACGATTTCTACAGCGATGGAATTATGATTTTACGACAACAATGGTAGAATAATAGAACGAGTGCATAATATTGTTTTAAAATATTAAACATTTATACTCCAAATTTTTGCTTGCGGTTTTGGCTAGCCAAATTATTTGGCCTAGAGTATAGAGACAACTATGCCTATTATCGTACTAGAATTATTATAAGCTGAAACGCAGTATACAATGTTTTTAATACCCGCATTTTTTTCAATGGAATCGAAGTTAGGTTCTGCGCTACAATGTCCTAACATCACTAATCGTTTAGTTCTATCGAGGCGTGTGTCTAATGTTGATTTGACGCAATGCCGATAAAGAACGTTTTTCTACTCTAATTCGATAGTCATATCTTATCATATTTCGTGTATGCTAAATGGCCATTTATATATACATTTTGATCGTATGTGGTCGAGTACCGTGATATTGAACGGACTGTTCTATTAGCCCCACGAAGGAGAACGATAGGAAGGTCGTAAATTAAAAAAAAAAAATGGAGACGTTACCTGTGGTCATTATGCCCGGTGTTCCTTTTAGTGATATATGCAAATGCTCTCACAAGTATGCCTTCATCTGCGGGGAACAATCTCGTGTTTGTTCATTATTGATAAGCGTGAACCTCAGAGGAGGCACGCAAAAATGATCGCTAATAAATTCTCACTAGTCATTTTTGATGCGTAGACGTAGGCGTATTTGCGTATAGCCCACCGCCCCTATTTCCCGTTGTTTCGAGGCTTGTAAAACATACTCGAAATGACACAACTAGGCTTTAAATCGTCATTTTGAATCGTATTAAATGTTCCCCTACAGGTACAATGGTAGCATGTTTACCTTAAGACCTAGGAACAGATGGTGGGCTCAAAGGCAGGCGTAGACACGCTTTATTTGCTTTTCAGAAGTGCCAGCCGTCTGAAGCAATGCTCATTGGACGTAAAAAAGAAGTATTATTGCTTATATAATGATATGCGCTAGCTTGTCTTTGAAGGTTCTTAAATTTGATGCTAGCAACGTACGCGTTGATAGACCCATTAGTTTATTATTATTATTAAACTTCTTACGTTGTTTCAGTTTGAAAAATGGTGATGATTTGGCTGATTTTACTAAGTTGTTTTGTCGCCGTAATTATTAATTATATATGTATATATATCTTTTCATCGGTAAATGGTGTCTTTCGATTACTGCTGTCGCAAAAACATCAACAGTCAATTTATTCATCTAACAAAACAAACCATTGTCTTCCTTCTGACATAATTCACTTTTCTTTTAGAGGAAGTTTTAGAGGAATCTAGAATTATTTGTTGTGTGACACTAAGCATAGGGTTCCAAAGATCACTAATTCCCTCTCAGCTTCTCCCCTATAGACTTCATTATTTCTAAGAGTCTAAGTCAATAAAAAGACAAACTTTTTATTCCTTATAAGCATGTTTTAGCTAGCGTCCTATTTAGTTTCGGACGTCGAGTTTAGGGCCTTAACTCGAGATGTGATAGGAAAAGAAACAGTGTGTAGTAAACGAATCTGCACACAATCAACATTGCCGATAATTAAATTTTTACGAACATTATACTTCACTGGTAGGCGATTATCTACTTTACAAGAATAATAGGTTATCTGAGCTTATGTAGTAAGGCTAAGTTCTGAGGAAATTACAAAAAACTCAATTTTGACACGTAGAGTTTAACAAAGCTTGTTGTATATTGGTGCTAAGAGGCTACAGGCTTGAAAAAATGAAAGGTATCAGCTATTCGAGGCGTTTGTACGTCAAAACGAAAAAAACCAAACATTATGATACGACTGTAATAGGTAGATTAGACGGAGATGAAATACGACAACGAAACTTACTAATGTGTCTATAAAAGTTTAGCTTATCTAAAGTCTCGCGATGTCCCATCGTTATTATATTTAATAGCACAGTCGTGGTCGTTGAGGCATGCAAAGCGATTTCGGAGTAGAGCATCGGTTGCCATACGATAATCCTTCAGACAACTCGAAATGGATTTTGAACGAGATGTTCAGCCCGCTTTATCTACAAACGCTTATTTTTCTTTTGCTGATTACGCTCGGTCATGGTAAAACTAAAAATGTTTTGGTCTAGTTAATTACTTTGCTCAATTATCTCCAATTTACCGTATTTTGATTAGAATTCAATTTAGATCGTCGTAATTTTGCTTTTTCGTCGATGTTACAAGAAAACCTGTGTCATTTGTCATAAATTGAAGAAAATTGCTTTTGTCATTAAGGATAGAGGCAATTACGGCGGTGACTAACGTCAACTTATATGAAAATAATGTTCTCTAAATGGGAATTCTGTAGCGTCGCTATTTCGTAGACATTCGATTGATCCAGATCGGCGTCGCAACGGAGTAGGAGTGATCCGCACTAGCGACCGCCTTCTCGATAGTGGTTCTGTTGACCACGGCCATCACACGGCACTAATTTACAGGTTAGAGCCATCATGTACTGTTGTATTTGTTGGTATGGATCTGCGCTGACAGTCGTTTTTTCGCTATTGAGACGAATGATAACTCGTAGTCTCTTTCCATTAGACTGTTACACGGGTCTGTTGTTGTGGTTTACCTGTTGTGATGCGCGTACACACCGAATTGTTTTTGTGGAAACTAATGTTTGAAAAAAATGCACGAAAAATTTGAGCAGATCTCTAGGATGCGATTGTAGAACGAAAAGACCAATCAGTCTCGTCTGTACTCGTTAGGGTCGCATGAACAGCGGAATGCACGTACGAAAAAATATCGTCCTTCATCTTAAAGAAAATAACTTCCACTGCATGTAATCTTTTTGCGATTGCTGTAAACGTTTCGAAGGACCCATTCGCATGGTGCGGTTGGTCACGGCGCCGTTCGGGTTCACCGCCTGGATTCCCAGATGAGTGACGGCTACAGTCAATTCGATTCCTTAGCGTCAACGTCAGTCTACGGGGTAAGTAAGCAAAAGTTACGACATACTATGGGGTATCGTTATTTAGGCAAATATCGCATTTTGTTTAGCATTTTTTTTTTAAGCTTTTTCTAACGATATTAAGGAATTATATGACAAAGGATATTTTTTCTATGTATGCTCGATTTTGGGAAATTCAGCTGATATCATTGTCCACTATTGTTGTCCATTTTTAAAACGCATTTTCTCTAAATATCGTATTTCTCTATCTATTTTCTGATAATTATAATACGTTCTTCTATAGGCTCAATGCGTCTAACTGTTCCACAAAAAAAGACAGCTTTGCATCTAAAGAAATCAAATAATTAGTCCAACCTTTAAACCCCCGTCGATAGAGTAGCCTCCATCTTCATTAGATTGTTGTTCAATTATTTGAAATAGAAAACGAAGATATTAAACTGACATCTGGCTTCAAGCTGTTGGAGCAAGTTGTAGCATATTGTGAATGTTTTTTATTGGGAATGCACTTGTGAAAGTCACCCTAGGTGTGCTGAAGGATTATAAAGAAGCCTGAATGAATATGACGGAGAATCAGCATCATTTTAAAATGGGGTTTTACCCGCGCCTAAGCCCCAGTACTTTTTATCATTCGGTCCCATATCCAGGTGCAATGTATCGTGGTGCTATGAACCCCACTGCATTTTACCACACACCACAGAATCCTGCCTCGTTTAATCATGTGGTATACAGTCCTGGCTCGATATGTTCAAGTTACAATGGTAGCCCATTCTATCCGGGAGCGCAAAATCCATCTGTGCAAATTCCCGGTGCGCAGAATTTCGCGGTACAAACTCCAAGCCTTCAAAATATTCCTGCTATACAAGGGCCATGTATGCAGGTCGTGAAAAGTCAGAGCTCTGCTACCTATTGTCCTAACATGCAAAACTTCAGAGGTTCCGAGGCGTGTTACCAGTCTGGCCAAAACCCTGCCGCATGCCATACTACGGAGCAGGTTTGCTCGTCGTGGCAAACTCCTGTCGCTATAAGCCCTAACACTCAAAATGTACGAGCTCATAGCCAGAACTCGATTTTACACGGTCCCGGCGTGTTTTTTCCAACTGTTCAGCATACGGACGTTCATTGCCCGAATGCTTCGAACCGAAAATCAGAAGAGCTGAATTCTGCCCAGAATTCAAACCTACAGAGCGCGATATCGTCTGTTCCAAGCGCGTACAGACTACCTAACGGACAAGAGCTGGGTTTGCATGGCCCAAAGGCCAATAATGGACTCGTGCATGGTCGGTGTACCTCGAATCGAACAGACCACGCTCCGAACGCTCATAAGACACATACACAGAACTTAGGGATCACTCACGGCTTGAGTGGTCAGAACGGTACAGCCGGGCCATGCGCGAATGTGCAAAATCCAAACTTTGCCCATTACATAAATTTTCAGAATCCTGTCAGTTTTCCATCACCTGCTCAAAACACGGGAACTTATTTATCGAGCGCCCATATCACGACCAGTAATGTGCTAGACTCAAGTTCTCAGAATGCAGGCTTGCATTCAGGCGCGAATATCCAAAACTCGATCAATGGTTTTGATACTAGCGGGGGAAAAAATGGATCACTGAATACGGCCGTGTTGAATGCCTTGCTGCAGAATCCAGGCATGCTTAAATCGCTTCTTCAGAACTCAGGCGCAATTAACTTCGATAGTGGTATGGCCGTTTCAGGTTCCGCGGCAAACAACACTAACTCTCAACAAACTTCAAAGGCCTTAAACGAAACTGCTCAAAACACAGGGATGGCTAATGCAACAGGTCACACTTCGCTTCATATGAACCATAGCATCCAGGACTGTGGACCTACATCTACCAGCAACAACCAAACTTCTACCCAAACTATCAATTCGTATTCTGCTGAGAATTCCGAAGTGTTTAGCGCAGGCACTTCAAACTCCGGTGTGTACGCTGTGTCTTTGGATCCAGGTACATATAACCTTATTTTCCCGAGCCCGGAATCCCATGGTACCTCCTCAGGCCAAGCCTCAAGCTCACATATGGCAACGTCGAATGCTGGTATGTTCGACTTAAGTAGCATGCAAGACCCCGATACATATAATACTGTCTTCCCCAATCCCGATGCTGGCCTTACCTCAGCTCGTGCCTCAGAAGAAAATCTAAGCTCGTGCAATTCTGTTGTGGATAATCCGGGTGCCGAAAGCACTTGCCCAAAGAAGTTGGAGGCGCGCAGTAATATTTCCGTCACTGATAACCCTGCCGAAGAAAAAGATACATCGAACTTGGGTACACTAGCTTCGGATGCGCAAGAATTTACGAGCCCAAGTCCAAGCATTCTCAAGCCTGTTATACTTAGTCTAGCCACTCACAATCCTGGCCCATTGAACGTTAGTGCATTTGTGCCAGTCGTCCATAATGCGCCTTCTGGTAGTTTTGTCCCCATTCTCCAAAATCCCGGAGCAGTCCCCGTTGTACAAAACCCCTGTGCATTCCTTCCTGCAGGCCAAAACACAGCCGCAATCTTCCAAGCCGTTTAATCCCTTTCAAAAAACAAGCAGGTCTGACGCTTCGCATGCCGTGAATACTACGTCAGTTACGCTAAAAATCTTATTAGTAAATTGTTGAGCGGCTCCTCTTCTGTCCTACGCAGAAGGCCACCTTAGTAATATTTCAGCACGTATCCTCACTTATGTACGAGTACGCACGTTTACGTAAGAAATGAAATGAAAATGCGGACTTAGCAACGACAGCATTTTGTGAAAATATTCTCATTACAAATCTTATCAAATACGAAATATAAGGAAATTCTTCGTTTTTTGACATAATCTGTAGTGAAGAATTAGCTGACATTCTATTTGAAGCTCTGCTTTCCTGAAAGGAGTTTTTACCATTAAAATTCCTTAAATAGCTCGGATTCAACAAACAGCTTCCAATAGTCCATTGGGCCAATATTCAAGCCGATAGGGCAAATTTCATTCTCAGCATAACGCTGATTCGACTTGTGTATCTGTGGTCCTGTTTTTGGCGAGATCGACACCGATCCACGACGATGCATAAATATATTCAAAAGGACAAGCTTGAATCTACCAAGATTGTTTGTTTTACAAATCAATTTATTCAATTATTTCCTTTATAGGAATTTCCTGTACTACAGTATCTATTTAGTAATATTAGGTAGGCTGTTACTTAAAAAAAAAAAAAAAAAAGACGGCGCGCACAATAGGACGTACGACAAGGACGTGTTGTCGCAGTTCATAATAACAACAACTTTTCTTCATAGTAATTCTTCACTGCCCGTTCGAAAACCTCGGTCAGTTATGATTCTGCTATATTCCTGTTGGTTATTCATTCATATAATCTATTCGGAAACCTATATTTTGAAATAGTTTTGCAAGTAAGGGTTTGAATAACGTCATCTACACACAGATGACCTTAGCAGTGCAGTGTTTATCTAGTGTAGTATTTAACTCGGTTCGGACGAGGTATTTTATTCAGACGAGATCACTCACTATCCACTGACTCTACAATTCGGCTCTTCGATAAATAGTACTATATAAAGACTGTTTAAAGGGAGTGGCCAATGCCGCTGGGTTGTAAGACCCGAGCCACGTTGGTTGGATTTTTCACCGAGCTAGATCAGCAAATTCCCAGGCAGTAGAAGTTATCTTACGGGGCATGTTGCATACCCAGTCGTTGGCCATCGTGTGCCTCTGTTACCCAAATGAGCTGGGTGTTGAGGTGGTTTTTTCTACTATCAACAGCCATGAGGGCAGGGTCGGTACGGTCGCTTTTGTCGCGCCTCAGTGTAAGGCAATAGCCTAGTGTACGAAGAAGAGCATCTTCTTTAACTTTAGTCTGAGAACGCTATCCTATTGGATGTTCAGAGCTCTCGGAGAAAGCCTGTATTCCGAAAGAAACTGTGTTAGGTAAAAAAAAATTACTTCCCCTTTCTGTCTGTAGCCAACTGGTCGATAGGATGTCAAACGCCGACGATGTTTCTTCGTGTGAACCGGGTTAACAGGTCCCATTGGTTTCCTCTCGCCTATTAGTAACGCTAATAAATTACTCTCTTTCCTCCGCCTTCAGATCCACGGGGAACTGAACGTGCCAATGCGAGCACTAGCTATGTGCTGGCCGTGCGATACGCTACAACACTGTTGCATTGTAGCGTATCGCACAACTGACCGTAATTCGAATCGATAATCTTACGCAATTATAGGTGACGAATATGATCCAGTCTACAATATGTGCATACGAAATTGCTCGGGCCTCCCTTGATCAGTACCGTCGAGACGGCTTCGAATCGTGATCTTTTAGCTTCCTTTGATGGGCGATTTTCGACACGCTTGTCGTTTTCTTCGCTTGTTGTGCGACGCAGGCTTTTCCGCTCTACGTCGCCGCTATGGACAGTTCGCCTAATGATCGCTTTGTTTGGTTAGCGTAAACGAACTCGTCACGTTGATTCGGTTTTGCCAGCCTTCCTTGTACCTACCATTGTGCCAGCGCCACAGCATGAGGAAGCTTTAGCAGCCGTGGCAGTAACAAAGACGGAAGAGTGCCCGCAAGCATACTTGTGCTGAACCCTTCCGACATGGGTTGAACTGTTCGGGCAAAATTACGCTGAAATCAGTGGTTTTCCTCATGACGTGTTGAACGACGACATCGAAGAAAGTAGCAAGCAGAGGTTACTTAGTACAAATACGGTGCCAACATGCCAGTTTACTCGAATCGAACTCGAGATCTTGAGTCAAATGATGGGCCGCACGTCCAGCTAGTACCTTCCATGAGCCCGAAACGTCCGTTGTCTCTACCCGTAGGAATCCGCGTCCACCGTAGCTCTCCGCGCTTCTGGAGGTTCTGACGTTGGCTATGGCCTCTTGTATTAGACTATGTATGCATTTCGCTTGTTCGGATCAGGTAGTGTCAACTGATGGCACTCAATAAAGAGATGTAAAATTACTAGGTGGCTAGAATAGAACGAATTCATATGTATTGTTTGCCACGGAGATTGTCAGGAAAAAGTTGTGAATAGCTATGACATATTACAATATATTTATATATTAGAATATGATATCCAAAAAGGTGTTCCATAGAAGTTCATTGAACATCTGAATCGCCGCACCAGCCCTATGGCCTGTAGAAGAAACTACGGCTAGCCGAATATCACGCCGTTGGCTCTTATTAACCTATCCACAATCATAGATTTGTCGAACTGAGCTGTAGGAATTTGTATCATATTTAAAGACATATAGATGAGAGGTGTTGTTAATTAGAGGAACTATATGTACGTCTGTTGACAGCAAGTGGCCTGAATGCGTGTTAGCTCGGTGCGGTAAGTCATTACTGGCGATTGGGGGCCGAGTCGACTGACACAGTGCGCAGTCAGATATGGAGACATCCGAGAGTAAGTTGTAAACAAATGTCATCGTTCTGTCGACGAAGAACCTGCTGCGAAGTGCTTTTTTTTTTTTTTTTTTTTTTTTATCTAGTTAGAAGAAGCCATCCAGTTAGAAGATCAGCACTCAAATTCAAATCCAGACCAGTTACCCCGCTTTTAGCAAACAACTACGTTATGACCGGATTTGTGCCAGTAGTGACAACAGCTCGCCTGTAGAAAATATAGAAGTTGAGAGCATGGTTAAGAGCATGGTTGAGAGCATTCTATTAGAGTAATTAGAGCTTTGACGAAGGTCGAGGAAGACATTGTCATTGTATCAGGGTGAAAAGAAGTTGACGCTAGTTTTGGTGGGAAGGGATGGTTTTTTTGATTAATATTCCTCACGCTGCTCCAGATATGGTGATAATAAAGGCGATCGTCTTCGTGACGATAGAAGTTGGAAATGGCTGTGCATCACTGATTTACCTGTGTGTCGTAGCGCACGCATGTAAATAATCCGTGCTCTTTCTAACATTTTTTAGCAATAGTGCTGAACCGTTGCACGACATACATATAACCACGTCTACGCAGAATTGCAAAACATATTCGTATAAGCTGATTACAATCAGTTCTTCTCATAGTAATTTGAAATATTTTAGCTTTGTTTTCCTTCAATAGAAGAGTATGTATTGAACGCGGGCATCAAGCGTGTTCGACAAAATACTGTGCTTTTCGATACGTTCTATAGTGGTGTACGCAATATTCGAGTCTGTCTCTTATCTCGCAAGCGCCGATACACCTTCAAAGCTGTAGCTATGACAACATCGTAGCCATATACGTACCCACCGAATGGGTGTACCCACGAAAAGAAAATTATGTCAATATTAGCTAAATCTACAGCAAGTGGTTTAAGACATCAATCGTTGTATGTGTGCTAAATGGTTCAACTCGGAACGCGAACAAAATACTCTCCAAAATCGCATTATTTGTCTAGACACAAGATCACAGATGGGAACGTATCGATTGCTAAATATAGTGCGATCAGCCTTTAATTCGTTTGATAATAATATTTAATTGGGCTCCCGTTTCGGTCGGGTGTTTCCTTTCTACTGTCTAATCGAAAATGACCGATAGTGATTGGCCTTCGGCCTCCATTTTGTGTCGCAAACGAATCTGCGGCCATGGTAGTGGCGCAGGCGATAATGATCAATGCCTTCTGTTATATCTATCTCGTTCAAAACGCCGGTCGATTCCTGCTGTTCGACAATGTCGGCGATGTTGCACTGCGCCAGCCGGGATACTGCGGCGGCGCCGCCGCCAATCGCTTTGTTGCTTGACTAATGGATTGACAGCAAACACACAGATAAACTGAATATTCATTCGCCGACGCTCCTATTAGTTGCTGCTGCTCTGCTGCTGCTGCTGCCGCCGCCGCCGCCGCCTCTTCAACCAGGTGCTAAAGGAATATGGACGAGACCGACGGTTAGCCCCTATGATAGTATGTTGTTTACCTGTTTTCTAATCTTTGTTCATTTATCATCTTATTTTGACATCTTTTCATCTTCGATGTAAAATTTGTTTGTTTAATTGAGTTTGTATGTACATTATTCATATTATCCAGGGACGAGTATGGAGACCAGTAAGGGCTTGGAAGAGCGATCTAAGTTAGACCCTGACGCTGTTGTTCAAAGTAAAGCGTCAGCCAAGCAGGGTCCATATAAAAGACATGCGAAACAATGATTTTTCATTCGAAGTAAAAAACGAGCTAGCCTATTTCAAAACTGCAGTGTTTTCGTTTTATTAGCTATAGCTATGGCTATACCTATGGCTATGGCCTTGAAACAGATCGAACCCTACTGAAGAAATCTGTGACGCGAAGAAGCGTCTGTTTTAGCAAGATGTGACGAATTGCATCCTGAACATGAACTCGTCAGTTCAAATAGACCAAGGAAATATTATTTCTATTTAATTTGATACTTTTCGGGTTGCACTAACCTAGATACTCCTTTAACATCTTGTGTTTTTGCTCGCTTCGTACGGATGCTGCCACTTTTGGCACGATCTAGCAACGGCGTCACCTACTTCATTCGCTTGTTTTATGAAGACAGACTTACCGCTAAAGATAAGGTTTACTAACTGGCAATCCTCGAGATGTCACTTTACTTACAAGGGTTACTGTTTCTATTTGAGCCGCGGATTATGTAATGGCTCGTCGTCTCCTTCGACTAGCTCGGTCGTGCCATATTATTCGCTTGTTTCGTGTAGAGAACAATAGCAAACAGAAGTAAGTGATGCAAAACACAGAAGATTATATCATCTATGAAATCTCTAGATTACGTACGTCTACCTTACTGAACATCTACAGTGATGCCTTAATTGCTGATCATCAGGAGGTTTTCGTCGATAACAGACGAATTCAAACATTGGTAGAAAATATGCAAAACAAATTTCTCTTATATTTAATTTAGTATTAATTAACCTATCTGATATATACTCAATAATAGTTCTTCTACGGTCAAACTCACACAATAAGTGCAAAATATATACTATCAATATAGTGTATTTCAGCTAAACTTGGAACGCAACAACTTTTCGCTATTTTCAGATTCTGAAATTTTTGCTGAAAATTCTCCTTACCCCACCGACTGTATCTGTATAGAGGTATGCCTTCCGTAGGAAGGTCGGACTTCGAAGCGTGTAACAGAAGCTATTATTTGCGAAAAGTAACCCAACGGTATCGGTCCAGGGTGCTTCTTGTCTGCGTGTTGCACTACTAATCGACTCACACTCAGAAGCTGGCTGTCAGAAACCTGTAGCTATTCTGTCAACCAGCGTACTCAGTCGAACGCCAGCATACTAAGGCCAGAACGATGATTTTCCATTTCAATATTTGATGCATCGTGGGCATATTTGTTCAGGTAGCTCCGATTCTTGCTCACTTAACAATGTTTTGCTATCAGCACTGTGCACTATATGAAGCCATTACATTTAACAAGGCGGTATTAACCTGCGCGGAGGAAGTTGACTTGTGCTCGGTTGAATTGCTGAGCACATTCGTGTGTTTACAGCATCGTTATAACTCTATCGGTTTTCGTGCGTGTTGATCTTTTTAGTTGGAATGGTGATGAGTGTTCATCGACAAACTAACGGAGAAGATACAAGTCTTGCAGGCTAACCGATGCTGCGGCCGATTCTGGCTCGTTCACATATGGATTGAATATGTGGCATCACGATAGATTTCTTGTACAACGGTACTAGCAGAATACGAAACGAACAATAAAGAAGGGTACAGATCTACCTACGACGGCGATCGGAGTGAAGCCGATTAGAGTCGATGCTCAATCGAGTGGACTCAATCAATTGTGCAGTATTAAAGCAAAATATCTTATGCAAAAAAACACTGAGACATCCTACAGACATGTGATATGGTTAGTGCCATCAGTATTTTATGTTATCGTTCCTTGCAGCACTGCGTGCCGTCAATCTTTGAGACTTCCTGTTGATGCAGTTTGATTGTGTGGATCATTAACGATCCCTTTTCACGGAGATCTGAAGATGTTCTTGTCGAACACAATTTTTGAGATTTTGTCTATGAGGATGAGGTATGCGAATTAGCAGGCCACGGCGGCGCCTGCACGTTGTAGATAAAAGAGCGTACTTCGATACTCGAGATACTTCGAGCTGTGTACTAAGCCGCTCCATCGTGCATGAACACACAGCCGCCATAAAAAGACTCGCTTCTGTACCTGAAACATACTGCTCTCGATAACCTTAGCATATTCCTGCTGCTCTAGCATTCTCTGTACGATACGTATCATTTCAATGCCCTTGCGAGAATTCAGACTGCATCGTAATTCATATATATATATATATATATATATATATATATTCAGATTTTCAAAAGATGAAACGTCTGAAGGCATGATCGGCTTTTTTTTTTTTTTTTTTTTTTTTTTCGAAAATTTTAACATTAGATTTGTTTGAGAAGAAGATTTTTTTTCCATTTTTTAATAGTATAGTTTTTAACTAGCTTTGCCGAACGAGGACGGCCTCATTTTATACGAGAATTCAAATAAAGGTGTTTCGGAAGGCCTACTGCTCTTGAACCCAGCCTCTTTGAATCGGCGACGAAGCAAAATTTTGAACACAGCTAATCCACGGTCTCGTACTCTGCTCTGGGAAATATTGCTGGGTAATATTTAATAAGGCTGGGAAATGGTACTACACTTCTTCGATTCTCGTCACCGATTTTATGAGACAGCAGCAGGAGGCTTTCACTAAGCCTCTTAACGACGTCGGCGACTGCATGTTGACGAGGCTCAGCAATCCCCCATTGCGTACGTTGCGATTTTGATTCCTTTTTTTTTTTTTTTGATTTGATTGATCTGTGAATAAATGCACAAAAACACTCGGACGAGTCAAACTTATAATTATAACACCGTGGCACCTAGTGCCAACAACAGACGTGCTGGACGGTCGAATATAACGCGCCGCTTACAGATAGTAGCGTGAGATAGTGGCAGAAAATATGAACGCTGGGCTTACTGAGATTTTTTTTAATGACAAACTGTTACCCCTGCGACAGTTGAAATACGTATCACACCATTTGTTAGCGGTTTGAAAATGGAGGACATCAGCATCAAATAGAATAATGCCGCCCTGATAAGCTAAAAGCTTTTTGAAGTTGACTTTGATGTTGCAGCATATATAAATATTTAAGTAAAGATATCAAACACGAGTAGTTTTTATGAATGACGAAATTGATTGGTTTGGTAATCGAATTAAGTGGGCAGCCTAATTCGAAATCTTCGTAGTTGTTGGTAACGAATCAATTCGACGAAGTGCCTGTGAGGCTCACATATTCGGCCGGTTATCCTTCATGGTTAACTTACGGTTGTTATATAAGTTGATAGCGTGCTTAGTTAGAAAAAATATTTGATAACATGTTGACCGACATTTTAACATCTAGACCGACTTTTGATTTTGACCAACATGAAGAGGACGAATCAATTAGAGGGCAATACGGCTTGTTACAGTTATCCGAAGCTGTGCTAAACTGTTATTAATCTCATAATAAATGACATCTTTATAATTTTCATAAAGTATGCCTTTTAGATAGTTCATCTTGCAAAGTTCTTGCAGATTTCGCCTAGGTCCTTTTTTAAGTCTCTCTTTTTTTAAGGCCCATTTTCCAAACGAACGAACGAGGTGCTACCAGCTGAGAGTCCGCATAAGGTCGACACCCGTGGTGTGAAATTATTCATTTCCCTGACGCAGTTGGCAATTATTTATTCCTTCAGCAGGCAGCAGAAATTACGTGGTGTGCCGTTAACGATATCATGGCCACAGTCCAGTGCATAAGTTTACCGCAGCGAATTTGATGAAAGACATAAGTGTTTAACCGGATCTTTACACATAAACTAGAAAATAGTATCTGCATCCTAGATATTCCTTGATTGGAGCCAGTTTTTTTGGAAAAAGTGTCGTGGTTCGTACATGTTTTGTATCATTCCACAATTAGGCGAGCTTACAACGGAAAACACATGGACAATATTGAACAATAGATGGCCCTTAAATGTGGTATGAAGAAAGATGCTTCATCTCTTCAGTCCAATCTTGACTTTCACTTTAAGGCCGGTTGCAACATGTTCCACAAACTGTATCAACATCCGAGGAAACAGCAAGTGGCCAGAATTGAGACGGTAAATAATACGTCGGCGAATCGTCAGATACAAACTCGCATTGATAACAACCACCAATGTGACCACTGTAGGGACCATTAAAATGTTGAAAATAATTTATTAATTGAAAAAATTGAGTCTCCCTTGATCAAGGGTGAACCTAAATTAATTCATACGAGTATACAAAAAGGGAAGAAGTTGTTCCACAGTTAGGCAATGGCGATAATTGGCGATGCCTTAGAGGGACTCCCCATCTGAGTCCTCATCGTTGTCAGAATGAATGAGTGAAATCTCCTGCAATATTAAGCTTGTATTGTACCCCGTGTTTGCATAAATTTGCATTAATCTTCATTTAGATTCGTCATGAATCAATAAATATCAATGCAGATAACGGACATGAGCTCCGTGTGTCGACGATGCTTTCTTGGCAGCGATGATTACAATATTGTAGATTTGAGTAATTCTACCCATTAAACAGAGAACCCTTTGATCGGGTAGCTATTGTTATAGACTATCTATCGTTCTATCGTAAAATTTGTCATGCTGAGAAGATGCTGATTTTAATAGCTCTGTGCACCAAACAAGTAGATTGTTGAGGACGATTGGCTAGGCCACGATGTCACAATCTTCATTTGGATGTTGTTTCCTTCTTCGATAGCGGCCGTAGAATAGCGATTACATCACCAAAGCGCCAACAGCCGATGATTCCTACTGTCGCCATCTGCAATGACTAGCGCAGTTGATCATCGAACGTTCGGCCAACGAAAGATGACTGTGGTTATCCTCATAAAATAGTGGCTGTACGCGAAAAACAACG